CCCCGTGCCTCCGGACCCTGCGCCCCCAGCCGGGCACTTCCCCTCCTGGGCTCCGGCGGCGCAGGGTCCGGAGGCACGGGGGCTGCCCGAAGCCGGTAGCGCTCGGGCAGCCCGGCTCTTAAACAGAGCCGAAGAGTCGGGGAGGAGCAGAGCCGCCATTTTCCCGGACATGTCCGGCTTTTCTGCAGTCAAACCCCCGTCCGGGGGGAATTGCCAAAAAGCCGAACATGTCCGGGAAAATGGCGGCTCTGCTCCCCCCCCCCTCGTCGGCACTGTTTAAGAGCCGGGCTGCCCGAGCGCTACCGGCTTCGGGCAGCTCCATGCCTCCAGACCCTGCGCCGCCGGAGCCCGGGAGGGGAAGTGCCCGGCTGGGGGCACAGGGTCCGGAGGCATAGGGGCTGCCCAAATCCCGAGCGCTACCGGCTTCATGGTTTGCTGGGCAGCCTCCAGACCCTGCGCCCCCGGCTGGGCGCTTCCCCTCCCGGGCTCCAGCTGCGCTGGGGAAGCGCCGGCTGGGGGCGCAGGGTCTGGGGGCTGCCCGGCAAACCCTGAAGCCGGTAGCACTGGGGCAGCCCTTTCCCCCTGGCTGGGAGTGGAAGGGAGGAGGGGGCGGAGTTAGGGTGGGGAAGGGGCGGAGTTGGGGCGGGGCTAGGGCCTGTGGAGGGTCCTCTTTTTTTATTTATGAGATATGGTAACCCTAGACAACAGCCTGAATCTTCACTGCCTTGCACCTTGTATGGGGTTCTCCACTCACTCACACCAGAGTGTAACTGACACACTAGATGCAAGGCAATGGAGATTCAGGTATATTGTGCCTACTTCCCAGTGAGGTGCACACCACCCCCTATCCAGGGCTGTGGCTTAATGCCACTCTTAAGTGCATAATCTAATAAGATGCATTGGGATCCTTCAGGATGAAAGACAAAATCCATTCAAGGAGTGCATTTTATCCAGCTGGTTTTGGACTTGAATGAACTGGATACTTCTGACATTTCTCATTGCAGATGTCCCCCATCAGTGATGTTTTTTTTTCTATAGTTAACCTCCAAGCAATTCCATTTACAGTCCACTACCCTTGCAAACAGCTCCATTGACCTCTTGGTCACCCTGCCCTCTCTGCATCTGATGTGCTTTGTGTTTTACAGTGAAACATTGTTTCTCATAGAGCGCTGTTGAGACCCTGTAGGTCAGTTAACACATGGTAACCAAGGCCAGAGGGCTACAGGCTCTGACCTCAGGAGAGAACTTGCTAACAATGTTGCATTAGTCCAGAAGAGGTGTGCAATATCTCCCAACCGTCCAGCCTGCCAACATTTTGTTCCTAATGGGTTTCTGGTGGAAATCGAAAATCCTTTGTGCTGCTGTGTGAGAGTGACTTACCCTCCTCTTCCCTCCAAGCACCACGTGCCATTAACCTTTCCTCCTTTCAGCTGTGACCCTCAGTATTGTTTACATCACAGTGTTGACATTTTGTACTAATTTCACACAGTCCTACTCTCAGTTTAGTGCTAGCTCAGGAACTCTTCTGTGTCCCTGTCGGTGCTAATTAGAATCTTTGTTCCTCCACATTCTGAGGCTCTTTGTCACTCAGTCGGGGCAGCTTTTAATCAGTCAGATAGCTGTGTTTTTAATAAACCAGCCATACAGGGTTAGACTGTGGAAATGTTTATAGTACAGAGGAGACTTAAGTGGAGATAATGCTAATCTAGCATTTTCCAGGTAGGGATGCTGAGATAGTGGTGAGTTTCAGTGACTTAGAAAGGTCGCACAGAGAGTCAGTGGCAGGCATAGACCCCAGTATCCTACTTTCAGTTCTTTGTTCAGTGGACCATACAGCCAACTCTTCTAGAGAGTGATCCATGGTTAAAGCACTGGGCTCAGAGAGATCTGGGTTTGGTTCCCAGAAGGGCTGTCAAGCAATTAAAAAATAATAATAATCGGGATTAATTGCACTGTTAAACAATAACAGAATACCATTTATTTAAATATTTGTGGATGTTTTCTACATTTTCAAATATATTGATTTCAGTTACAAAACAGAATACAAAGTGTACAGTGCTCACTTTATATTTATTTGTATTACAAATATTTGCACTGTAAATAACAAAAGAAATTGTATTTTTCAATTCACTTAATACAAGTACTGTAGTGCAATATCCTTATTATGAAAGTTGAACTTACAAATGTAGAATTATGTAAAAAAATAAACTGCATTCAAAAATAAAACAATGTAAAACTTCAGAGCCTACAATTCCACTCAGTCCTATTTCTTATTCAGCCAATCGCTCAGACAAACAAATGTGTTTACTTTTGCAGGAGATAATGCTGCCCACTTCTTGTTTACAATGTCACCTATTTTGTATCATTATCAAGCAAAACCTGTCATCAGAATGGTTGCATGTCCTCTGGAATGGTGGTTGAAGCATGAAGGGGCATATGAATGTTTAGCATATCTGGCACACAAATACCTTGCAATGCTGGCTACAAAAGTACTATGCAAATACCTGTTCTCACTTTCAGGTGACATTGTAAATAAGAAACAGGCAGCCTCATCTCTCATCAATGTAAACAAACTTGTTTGTCTTAGTGATTGGCTGAACAAGAAGTAGGACTGAGTGGACTTGTAGGCTTTGAAGTTTTACATTGTTTTGTTTTTGAATGCAGTTATGTAACAAAAAATCTGCATTTGTAAGTTGCACTTTCACTATAAAGAGATTTCACCACAGTACTTGTTTGAGATGAATTGAAAAAATACTATTTCTTTTGTTTATCATTTCTACAGTGAAAATATTTATAATCAAAAATAATAATATAAAGTGAGCACTGTACACTTTGTATTCTGTGTTGTAATTGAAATCAATATATTTGAAAATGTAGAAAAACATCCACAAATATTGAATACATTTCAATTGGTATTCTATTGTTTAACAGTGCGATTAAAACTGCAATTAATTGCTATTAATTTTTTTAATCTCGATTAATTTTTTTGAGTTAATTGCGTGAGGTAACTGCAATTAATCAACAATCCTTATTCCCAGCACTGCCACATACTCTCTGGTGACCTTGGACAAGTCACTTAATCTCTCTGTTTCCTGTCTCCTACCCTTTGTCCATGTTTAGGCACTAACCTCTTTTGGGCAGGGACTGTCTCCCATTTTGAGTCTGTACAGTACCTGGTTCAATGTGGCCCAGATCTCATTTAGGGACTTGGCACTATTTGATAGTAGTGAAGTGAAGATAAGTAAAGAGTGCTGTAACCATTGGGAACCTTGGTCTCAAGTTTACATTCAACTGAGCTGCCAGTCAGAGATGCTTGCTGCTGTGTGGACACATTACCATGGGTTGACATACCTTCTATCTTTTTTAGATTACCTGAACCCAGTAGAGGAGAACCCATTTGTCTCCCGACGAAAGAACGGTGATCTTCAAGCTCTGGACAACCCTGAGTATCACAGCGCCCCAAACGGGCAGCCCAAAGCAGAGGACGAGTATGTGAACGAGCCGTTGTACCTCAGCACCTTTGCTAATACCTTGGAAAACGCGGAGTACCTGAAGAACAATGGGCTTCCTTTGCCAGAGAAATCCAAGAAGGCCTTCAACAACCCGGATTACTGGAATCACAGTCTGCCACCACGAAGCACCCTCCAGCACCCGGACTACCTGCAGGAGTACAGCACAAAATATTTTTACAAACAAAATGGACGGATCCGGCCCATCGTGGCAGAGAACCCTGAATACCTCTCTGAGTTCTCCCTGAAGCCTGGCACTGTGCTGCCCCCGCCACCCTACAGACATCGAAACACGGTGGTGTAGTGACATCAGTATTACACAAGTAGAGAGGCAACCCCTTCTAGCCGCCAGTCTCTCTTTCTTTCTTTCTCTCTCTCTCTCCCTCTCTGTCTCCCGTGAGCTTCCTCTTTTTGCCAGTTCACTCACTTTGATATTTCCAAGTAGAAGGACACCTTTGAGTCATTTGCTGATCAGGTTAGGAACCTGGAAGGAAAGAAAGAAAGACTAAATGAAGGAATGAAAGAAGGCCAAAAGCTGGCATTTCTCACCTTTCACAGACCCTGAGGGTCAGAAGGTCAGACGAACCAGTGAATACCAGTAAAGGCCAGTGGCATGTTGGCTGCTGTCAAGTTAGTTCTCAGTGATTCAACTCAGATGCTGTAGGGGAAGTCACACAGTGTCTGTTTCTATCAGCAGGAACTGAGGAAAGCCTATTCAGCATTCCTGGAAATCGCAATGCAGTTTCCATTAAGGGGGGAAAAAGGACAATTTTTATATCACATGTGATAGCATAATAATTGAGATTGGAGAAGCCAGTTTCTTTCTCTAACACTTTCTATCCTGGCAACTGAAAACAGCTAACCCAACTTTTCATAACCATTCAGTTCTTCATCACAGCCATCAAAGAAATAACTAATAAATTAAAAAAGGAGGAGACTTTGTCTCTGGCCAGTCCCCTCTTCTTAGCCACTCCCACACTTTAATCCCATTTCCTAACAGCAAAGACTTTCACTCAACGCTCCTGTGCATGACAGTGCAATTTTTTGGTATGTGTCGCCATGACGACAAGTATTTTCAACACAAGAATCCCGTCAGGAAAGAAAGAAAACACAAAAAGCTGATATCCTCCATTGAAGCGAAAAGAGAGGCACAGAGCCTCACCTTCATGTTTTATACCTACTTAATACAAACAAAGTACCCATACAACTTCTCCTCTCTTTCTTTTTGCTCATCGATTAAAGTAGTTGGGGATGCAGTAGGCAACACTGAGGACAAGACAGAAGGAGGAGAGTTTAATCGGTTCAGGAAACCTGGTGGTGGTCTTAGGGATGGCCCACTAAGGAGTTCTTTAAACTGGAAGAAAGACACTGGAGTGGATAAAACGCACATAGCAGTTCACTGGAAAGTTAGTTTGCACTTAAGCTATGATTTTATTTGTCCTCGCTCTGGACTGTTTTCTGGATTTTGAATGAAGCAATATGGAAGCGACCAGCAAAATAAAATAATTTTAAATTAAAAAGTGAAATTATATATAAAGGACGACTTGTGGAAATGCCAAAATGAAGCAAGTCACGTCTTTGGAACAGTATCCGCTGGTTCTGAAAGGCCAGTATATTGACTACTTCAGAGAATACAGTGAAGGAGTAACCAGTTCAAACGCTGCTGCACGAAGGAAAAGCAGAGCAAACAGTGAAGGGGATTTGGGGAGAAGAATGGCCAGGTCTGGCTTGGGGCCCAGCAAGGACTATAGTTTTCTAAAAGGAGGATTTCTCCATCACATAAGCTGGTACATACAAGGTTTTTAAAGTCAATATGTGCATGACACACACAGCTTTCAGTCAAAAATGTAACTAATGAGTCAATCTCCATGCACTTATTTCCCTTTTGTCAACTTCAGCTTTCACAGGACCTTTGGTTTATCCCCCCATGGCTAAAAATAGTTCCAGCCAGAGTTTTTAAATCATTTTAGCATCAAAATGGAACACCACATGAAGTGGAAGAGAAGAATGGGGATGGTGTCTTGCTTTCGATGCACTGTGTTTCTAGTTGTTTAGGCTTTTAAAGAAAAGATATCTATCTAATTAGACTCAAATTCTAGGAGGGACAACAATATTCCAATGTATGCACTTTAGTACTATTGAAATGAAGGCCCTTTGGATGATGGAACCCAGCAACAGGGGTGAACAGTCTGGAAGCAATGCATATTTTCTCTTAAATCCTAACATTTTAATGGACAGCCACCATGAGCTTTGGCGAGCTCCCTGCCATAACCCTGTCAGGGAGATCTGACCTCTCAAATTGAAAGAGGCAGACTGGAGAGTAAGCCCCGACCCTCACCCTCAGTCTGCCATTTTAAGTTAATTTTAGGAGTGGATGTCATGCCGTGTTATACAAGCAGCCAGTGATTGCTTCATGAGGTGACATTACATAATTGCCTGACCCCTCCCCTCCCTATTCCCAGGGCCGCCATGCAATAATTACTTAATTGTCTGTGCCGTAGGCCTTGCTAGACAAAGTCAGCTCTGGGCTGGAAAGAGACCTTAGATTTCAAACCTGGGTTCTTAGTGTTGTACTTTTAAACAGAATTTGTGGCTGGTCCCTACAGTGTCCATCAAGATTTCAGGTCAAGGCTGGCTCAGCCAATGGGGCATTACTGAATTAGGTGCTTCAAGTCAATTTGAACCAGCGGAACTTAATTACCAGCTGCTGTGCACTTATTAAGCCCATAAACCTTGTATGTAGATAAATGGTTTATAAACAAGAACAAAAAGTCTTTGCTGCTATTAAAAGGAGGCCTAGTGGCCATGTGGCCATGTAATAAATCAGTTTGTTGTGACAGAATGAAATGAACAGCTGACCATTAAAGCAGGATGGATGACCACAGAAGCGCCATGCATCTGAAAGAAGGTCTGTCTCTGTGGAGAGGTCTCATCTGCTCTTGATGCCTTCCCATAACTCCCAGTGAGGTTAATGGGAGATACAGGCAAGCATTAGGGGAAATTAGACCCCCTCAGACCTTCAGAAACATATGCCAGTGGGAACAATCAGAGTGCGTAATATTAAGCCTCTTGAAGTGAGAATGGACAAATAAAAACACTCATCCCAGAATTTTATCATGTTCCTTTTGTGACTCAGAGAAAGCTTAGAATATTAAGGAGGATGTGGGGGGCGGGAGGCTTGATCGCCGTCATTGAACACATGTAAGAGAAGAGTAACGTTCTAATGGAAATCTACGTATAGGTTGTGTATTTGTGATTGGAGCAGTGCGCTAAAAGACTGACTGTGAGAGAAATGTGCACACCTTGAAAATATTGAAGGCAAATCGCTATAAGGATTTTAGAATCCATCTGCTAATGGAAGGTAGAACACCTGTTTGGGTTCTTTGATAATTCAGTAACATCAACATTAAAAACAAGCCCCGTTTAAAAAAATGAAGTGTAAATATGGTTGTTCTTTAACAGTTTAACTCTTTTGCCCAAAAGTGTTTTAAGACTTATTTATTTACTTTTTTAATTGTTGATTGTGGCTAAAATATACCAAGTCACATGGAAATACAGCGGCTCCTTGCAGGGAGCATGAAACCCAGAAGCAGGCTCACAATTATAGGCTGAGTAGTGGCAAATGTGTCTTTAAAAAAAACCAAACAGTTAATACAACAAATGTAAATGCAGCCTGTGAAATGCAAAGTAACAAATGACATCCATTTATGTATCCTGGGTTACTGGTTTGGGTTAGTCCTGTTGCCAAAAATTGTCTTTAACAATTCATTGCTCTGGGTACCATCAGAATTGACCTAAACATCTAGGTATTGACCTAAACATCTAGATTCTTTCTTTTTTTTAACCTCAAGGGATGATTAACCTCGACCTACAAAGTCAATAGTATGTTTTGTTACATTCAGGCCAAATGTTTTCAACAGAAAAATCTAGCTACCTTCTGATCCACCCGCCTGTAAAAGCCAAGCACTTCCCAAGAATGAAATAAATAAATCTGTCACTGCTAGGTTTAATTTTAATTATGGTAAGGGGAGGCCACAGATCATGACAGATGTTCTTTTTTTTTTAATTAAATCATTTTTTTCTTTGGAAAGCAGATGCTTTTCATCAAAAATTTCATTTAAACTCAGTTTTTCCATGAAAAACAAGTTTTGACTGAATTTTTTTTGATCACCTAGTCAAAACTCAAGTGCTATTCCTGTCCCTAAAAAACACAGTCCGTTTTTAATGACTTTATAAGCATATTTTCCTATTTTGAAATTATTCTTTGTCCCCTATTGCTGGAGCACAATGATTAATTTTTCAGGGGAAACAAACAGTGCATGTGCCAAGTATTGTCACAGGCAAACTGAATGAAAGATGAACACGCTGTTGGTTTTGTTTTGTTTTCAGTCTCTTTCCAAGCTCGGTGTTACATGTAACACTAGTAGATAAACAAATTTTAGACAAAAAAAAATGTGATTTTTTTTTTGATTGTGTGAAACACCATTGGACTAGACGTCAAGTCAACCGCATCCTTTTAATTATTTGGGAGGAATGGAATTTGACTAGATTGTAAATTGACAGCATCCCTTGTAACACATTTCTTTTAAATTGACAAATGCAAAAGATTCTTTAAATCAAGTTTTTTTTCTGGTCAGTGGAAATTACCTCGTTAAGTTAGAAAACAGTGGAAATGACCAGAGCCTTAGGTCAAGAGACTCAGATCTACTGCATTGCTGCAAGGACTAACCTCAGACCAGAAACCTTCCTAATTGTGTTGAGAAACTCTGTGTTAACACTGCCAGATATTTTGCAGCTTTTAATTGACTGATACCATCACCTGACTGCACAAGTTGCAGCCCGGTCAGCGTGTGCCGTTTATTTCTGTGGGTTGATGGACTATGGGGCGTGTCCGTCTTTGCTCCTCCCACAGCTTGTAGTGCTAAGGGGAATGCCTCCCAGACGAGGCTGAAGATAATTCACGTTGTTTCAGTGGGGCAGAGTAGAATGGGACGCACACATAAGTGACCCGATCCTGCACACACTGAAGGCAACGGGAGCTGGCGTATGACCTACATGGGAAACCTTCCTTCGCTCAACAGTTTGCAGGAAAGTGAACACTCTGAGCCCGCATCTCAAGTGCCCTGCACCGTGTGTAATCACTTATAACTGTGCAAAGCAGGTAGGAGATACCTAACCTTTGGTGTAAGAGACTGGGGCAGGGACCTGAGGTTTAGTTACTCCAAGGCACCTTTGTACAATGGAGGCCTGACATCTCATTTGCACTAAGGCTCTTTTACATCACCGTGGCAGCATGCAGGGACTTTAAACGAAAGGATTCTTTATGCAGTGAGCAAGCTATAAAGGAGTCTTAGCGCCACTCTGAATCAGGTTGCCTCTATTCTGGGGCCATGACCCTTCCACAGTGTAGCAGCCTCAAGGTTGCTCTAACTTAAGCTTTGTTTCCCACCGTTCCTTATGTATGTGCCTTGGGACGCCAAGGCTATTTGCAGGGCATTCAGGACACCCCCTCTGATTTGCTCCAGGGGGCTGGGATGGTGTAGAGCTATTATGCCAGCTATGGACCAGGGGGTGACATTTGCCAGAGCGGTATTAAGGGGCCTTGATTAGCATTTTACACCCAGTCACGTTTTCCTGGTTGTAAATGCAAGGTGGGTGCAGAGGTGCTATAGCATAGTCAGTGATAGTGGCACCCATTTTAAGGCCCCTTTACACACTGATGTATAAGGGCCTTTGTATAAATGAGACACAGGCCCTTTGTTACCGGGATGCTGGTTGGCTTTTGAAGAGTTACTCCAGGTTGATGCTGTCGCCTTTATTTTTCACTCTGTAAACCCCTTTTTAAAAGGTAAGTTCTTCTTTCAGTCGCAATAACAACATGAAGCCTGTAAATTTAGTTGTATCAGTTTCCTGCTTCCTTTCGAATCTGCCACTTGTAATTCTCTCATTACCATTGACCTCCCACTGCTGCTAACATTTGTTGTAATGTAACCATATCTATTTGTTTTAGAAAGCTGGGCCTATGCAGTATTGAGAGGTGTGCTTTCTTTTATTTTCATGCTTCATAACGTGGGAGAGACTGGTGCAGTCTAATAGGGCAGCCTTTGCCTAGTGTTGCTTTTTTTAGCTGATTTTTTAAAATGTTTTTTTTTCAGTGAGCTTTACGCAGATGGGTAGGAAAAGTTATTTGTTCAAGTACATTTTTAAAAACAGGACAAATGCACAGAAACAAAGTTGTAGGGCTGGAGGCACTAGCTTAGGCTGTCCAAATTAGTTTGTCGACAAACTTTTTTTTTTCCCCCCCATGCCACTTCCTAGTTGGTATTGTAACACTGCGCCGCTTTTTTCAAAGATAAGGGCCAGAGTCAGACACCCTTACTCACAGGAAGTACCTTACTTCGTAGCATTAATGGCACTGGGATTACTCAAGTCATAAGGTATTATTATTTGTATAGCAGAACAAATCAATGATTGGTGTTGGGTATTGTGCATAGATTATGGGTCCCAATTCAGGAAAACATCCTGACCCAAGCACTCGCAGAAGTTCCATTGAAGTTGGTGGGATTACGCACATGCTTCCAGTTAAACTGGTTCCAGTCCCCCTTATCTTACAACTTTTAGTATTTGACAAGAAGCAATAACAGATGGCTAGAGGGGGGAACAGTCAGATGATCGTGATTAGTGAAATAACAATGGTCGCAGCTGCCTAGTCATATCATTGGTGGTAGTCACAAGAGCGGTACAGCATGAGTAAGCCTACCCAAATCTGGTCCAAAACAATGAAGTGTCAGCTCCTCAGTGGAATTTAGGTGCTTAAGTCCTGTACTTGCTCTGACAAGAAAGCAATTTCATTCTGGTTGTTTCAGATGTGCATTGTTTGCAAATTCTTCCTTTCCAGTGGTGTGAGAGCCATGTTACCCTTTCAACCTTTGTGGGGCGGAAACACTGTATTTTCCATAGCACTCCGAAGACTCAACCATTTTGGGAAAACCACAGTAACAAACTGTGAATGGTATTTTATAAGTAAGTGTAGATATGTAAGCCGTTCTTTTGAAGTAAGGTACTATGAAATATGTAGCATAAACTGGTACTGCTGTTAAATGGGTCGATTACTAAACTGAGCAGCTGTGTAAAGGGTAACTAACTTTGAATGCACTAAAACAACCCGCCCTTTGAAGTTGATACAACTTAGATGGCCTGTGTATATGCTGGAAGCTGCCTTTTTATAGGTTGATTTTTGGAAGGGTTGGCTTGGAATATGTAGAGATGGGCCCCAAAATGATACAGCATATCTGAGTGGCCCCAGAAATTAGAGTTGATGAAAATATTTTCTAATGTTAATGAAAAAAAAATGTAGAAATTAAAAAAACAAAGCAATGTTCACAAATTCTTTTTTTACCCATTTTTCAGCCAAAGTGTAGAGCAGGTTGAAATATTACAAATTTTGAATATAGAACTGGGGGAAAAAAATCAGAAGAATTGCTATTTTCCCCATTTCAACCCGCTCTCATCCAAATATGGCTCTGAAATCCACTGCTTAGGCTCACCTCTATACATTCCTCCCTCTGAAAAGGCTCAAGGCTGTATGATAGGTAGACTTTCAAAAGTTTGGCTTCAATGGGCATAGAATCAATGGATCAGATTCCAAGAAAGGTCACACCAGAGGAATTAGATGAGTCTACAAGAATAGATGCCCTATTCGCAGTGCAAGAAAATTGTTGAGTTCATTGTCCTTTCCCATCCCACTCCATCTTCTCATCAAAGCATTCTCTTGTAGAGTCAACATGGGGTGCTTAACCGGAGGTACCTGAAAAGGCAGAAATTTAGAGTGTTATATTTTTTAGCCAATTCCCTGTGTTCTTAAAGTGTAAAAATACAAACAAAAAGATCTCTGCCTTGTGAAGTACCTTCAAGGAAAAGAGAAGCAACACCATGTTGGAAGATGACCTCCTCATTCACATGACACGGTGCACTCAGAGTTAGCTACCTTTTGAAACAAACAAAAAAAAACTACTGTATGTTACTTTGAAAATGTGAATAGTATTTTTATAGCTTGTTAAAGACATGGCTAGTTGCATTTGTAAATAAGGATAATGTTGTTTTTATTTTCTTTTTGTGGACATCATTATTCAGAACATAATTGTCTTTAGGATTGATTTGTATATAAGTAATTTGCTGGTGATTTATTTCCTTTTTTAGCTTTTGTTGGAGATATCATTTTGACATTCTGTGTGACTCTGTGTTTAGCACTATTGTGGTATGTTCAGACTTTCTGCACTTGCTTACACAGTAACGTATGCCAATTGTGTGTGGCGTAATGTTACTTTAACCTTTTGTCTCATATTTCAGCTATGAAGGATTATGCACTGTTAAAATACATACTGACTTGGGTTAATATTAGCTATATATTTTAGTATTATTTCCCTTTGCCTTGATTTTTCATGTTGTTGTTTTTTTTCCTTTGGAGGCTGGGGAGAAACCAGTGGCTCTTTTCTTTGTCTGATTAGGATCTTCTTTTCAGTGTACACACTCCCAGATCCCTCCTCCTGGTGATAGCGCTTTTACCTGTTTGTTAAGACAAATGTAGATTGGGACCCGCTTAGCTCATCCCCCACTGATCATCCCAGCCGAACAATTTGAAAACTGTTCTGCATTTTTGTTACATGAATCTGTCAGAAATATATTTTTAATTTAATATAAATGAAATTCAATAAAATATGAAAGAAATGTTCCTTTGTGCGCCTCAGATTTTTCATTGATGGCTGCACGATTGCAGCAACTGAGTATGCCGGTCTTGGGATAACATAGGAAGAAGGGTAAATATACTGCAATGGTCCATTTATTTTTCCCCTTGGAAGATGGAAACAGAAATGCAAGATTGTGGCTTTCCCTGTGCAGTGGCACCAGCAGCCTTTGCACAACTGTCACTCCATTCCCCCAGTGCATTGGCTACTAGGGGAAGACATTTGCAACTAATCTGGACCACTAGAAGATTACTTTCTCTTAGAGTAAAGGAACAAACTGCATCAGCTACCCAGGAAAGGGTCCTATCCCCGAATAAACAGAGGGATGAATTTGTTACTAGTCCAGATGTAGAGAAGGGACTTGAATTGGGATCTCCCACATATCCTAGATAAATGCCCTAACCACTATGATGTACTGTCATTCTCCCTGGCCTAATTACTTCATAGATAATGAAAAGTCATTGAGCCAGGGAAAGCAAACAGTGATGATATGGGCGATCGGTCAGAGCACTCCCCTATGCGGTGGGAAACCCAACTTCAAGTCCCTGCCCCACTGAAAGTTATTTGTTAAAACTGGGAGAGCTTGAGAAAGGCCTGTAACAGAGTCCATCGACACATCGCCAGTGCTGTTGTCTGGGCTGGGGAGACCCAAGTGCAAATCTCTTCTCCACAGAGCAGGGAACTGGACATCCAGTGGGGCTACCGCAAATGCTACGGCGTGGCTGGTAAGCCACATCTGAAATGACTTACAGGACCCTTCCCCCCCCCAGCACAAACATATGAGCTAAATTTGCTTATTACAATGAAACCAATCAGGCCTAAGAGAAAAATGACAGAAAACGATGAGCAGCAACACAATTGATAATGAAGAGGGGAAAAAAATCAGCCTTGAATGGCTAGCTAAGATCATCCCCGTGGGGCATGGAGAGAGGCTAAATTTTTTCCTACCTTCAAACTGCCAGTAATTTCCAGGAAATCTTCCCAGCTAGCTTAAAATCGTTGTCATAATTATCTCTACCTCATAGCATGCCACTGCTCTCATAGGGATTTCACCACTGCACTGTTGCCAACTCGTGCAGTCAATGATTGTGAGACTCTCTCGCAGCTCTCAATTTAAAAAGTGAGTTTCTAGCCATCATAGTTGCAGAAAAAAAGCCTGAAAATACGACCCAAGTGCTCAAAGGTCTATTGGGGAAAAAAGTATTTTCTAAAAAAAATCTCAGTCTTTCTGTGAGGCCTGATTTAATGATATTTGAAAATCTGGGGTTGCCAATACTGCCCATTGCCACAGCAGTCATCTCGTCATATGGCACATTGTTGGGGAGACAGCATAGTCAGACCTTACAATTATGTAACAGTATTAAGCAGCCAGGTCTTGACCATGCCCAGCGCATTACCTGAAACACACGCTTCTATATCAACCGCAGTATACACAGGCACAACAACACACTGTGACACTTCCCAACACCTGTCATCTGCGCCAATTATACAGTCTGTCTGGTGGCCAGGATATTCAATGAAGAGTTTGTAAATTGAATTAAACTGGCTTCTCTGGCTGAGCTAGGAGGTGCTTGTAGGATTTTATTCCACTGTGTGTTTTTAAATTTACATTTCAAGCCCCTTTTCCAGCTGTTTTTACAGCTCTGTTAGCTAACGGGGTAGGGAATCTCTTGAGTCAGAGCCAAAAGTGCTATGTCGAGATTCTGTAACTGCTGTCTACTGATAGATAATTAATAACCATAGTATGTGAGTTGCTACTGCATTGGACACAGGCAGACCCTGAATGGGGGAGAGGTTTGCTTTGTGCCTGGGCTGGACAGTTTGCAGGATACTGAGAACCATCAGGCCTATATGACCTAGTGCTTCAGTAGAGAGTGAAAATTATTGCCAGCTGATGACCATTTTGGTTGAGATGTTCAAAGGAGACAAATCAATAAAAGTTAAGTCGCACCAGTTATGTAGAAAAACCAAGGCTGAGATTTTTCTCTATCAAATGAGTTGCTCTCAGCCTTGTACCTGGTGGACAGGTGTCCATGTCACAAATATCATCATCATTAACTAGAAGCTGCCAAAATCAAGGACTAAATTGATATAGGACCTGAAATACCTACTCCTCTGGAAAGGCGAGTTCTCTAGAAGAAGACAGGTCTATTCCCAGCGAGACGGGGGAAGCCTATGCTACACCTGTTTTGTGAAGAAAGGGTGACCTTCCAGCACTTTGGTGGGCACTGCCCACCAACCCTAGGATTTGAGTAGCCCAGCAGTAGCACTACATTCACCTAAAATATTTAAGAAGTTTAAATCTTACACAAAGGAGGGCAGAGCCTTGAAGCGTGATAAATACAATAAGGCATAATCCTGCCCTCACACTGGTGTGAAGTCAGTATAACTCCATTAACCTCAATGGATTTACTCCACATTTACATTCACCTAGATCAGAGCAGTGTTGGGTTAACAGTCTGCACTGGATATAGACAGTTTACCACTGGGCTTGCTCTATATATTTCAGTATGTGTTTCCTCTAGTCTGGATTCACACTCCAGGCTTCAAGGCCCACTCTCCTTTCCATGCACGGTAACTGCTGTTAATGTTAACAGGAGTTAATGTAAACATGGAAGGGAAAAAAAGACCCATCCATGTGTGAAGGCTGACAAGTTGTCTGAACAGGCCCTCCCTGAAGGTTAATATTATCATTTTGTTAGCTAAATGGTCACCATACCACATAGCCTTCTGAGACGCCTATGATGGAGCATTCCTCCCTGATTCACGATCAGCTTTTCAGTTCAAATTACAGAAATCAAAAAGAAATGTAGAACTGAAGTTATAAACTCCAGGATATTATCTGCAAGCAATGTCCCATATCCAACTCTCCCTTCAAAGTCCTTTTCACCCCAGAGACACCCCATTGAGACATAATCTGGGATCTGCACACACTGCATGCAAGAGGCATAAGGAAAAGTCTCTCCCAGTCAAAAATTTCCAGCATAAAATTGTAAGCAGAGCAGGTGCACTTTATTAATTTTCTTTCTCCCTCCAAAAATCTTTCCAAACTGCACAATTAACAATGGGGAACAAAGGCACTAGGTAACCAGCTGAAGCTGCAAAACAGAAAGATTGTCAACCAGATAGCAATTTGAAAGCTATAAGCGGAATTATTCACCACATGATAGCAATCTGAGGGCTATAAACCAAATGGTGCACAGGAGACATATGAATACTGACATACCTCCACTTGCAAATTACCTGCATGTATTTAAAAAGGAAACACCCATATTTCCTGTTTCCTCATCCTGCTTTCTCTAAAGAATGTGTGCACATTTCTCCTGGGAGAGGTTACATGCAGTGGCATGATGTGATACAAAAGACCTGTGAACAGAAATCAGACACTTGGCGGCAGGGATATCTAGGAGTTAGAAAAGGGGAAGCTAAGCGAGCTGGCTTCTTATCCAAACTAAACAGCACAATTCCCCACAGTTATTGATTCTCCTTGGGCGAATCATATGTCAACTTCCCTCTGCTTCGGTTTTGCTAGCTATCAAACTGGGGTGATCATAAGTATCGTAAATTACTTTGAGCGCCTCCAGTGAAAGGAGCTCTACAAATGCAAAGCACTTGTTTTCTCCACTTGCTAGTTAAACTCAAGACTACACCAAACGTCATGGACTCTGAAAGGCAGCCCATATGAGTGAAATGTTATTGAGAAGTTGAAACACTTCAGATTAAAAATCAATCCTCCATTTATAGCACCAAGAAATCAGCAGTATTGGGAACATTTGCTCCCAATTTACATCAGTGTGAAGCAGCAGTAAGTCCATTGATGTCCGTGTTGAACATAATTATAACTACGATCAGACAACTGGGGGGAGGTTTTGTGTATGGTGTTGGAGTGTGTGGTCACAATGCATAACACATTATTGGAGGCACTCAGACACTGTGATGAGGAGTGCAATATAAGAATCTTTATAGAAAGTGCGAACATTGAGCCACTGGGCTGCGTTTTTGTACAGCTAATAGCCTGGGGTTTGTTTCTTGGTTGACTCTTGTTAAATTGTAACGTAGTCAATGAACTGTACCTGAATAATAAATAAATACCTAGTTCTCATATAGCTCTTTTCCGCAATAGATCTCAGCACGTGTTACAAAAGCATGTCAAGTATGACTATCCCGATTTAAGTACATTTGATTACCAGGTCAGAATGCAGGCAGAGGTGTCCGCCCAGTGCCTCTTGAAGACAATGGGAGTTTTTCGCTTGACTTCAATGGGTGTTGGCCTGGGCCCAGATTGAGATCTCTTGTTTTTCACCCTCAAGTTTATTCCTAATATTGCCTCAGACATTACATCTGCTCAGTGTTTATTGGCGGGCTGAGTGTCGTTCATTCAAACAAGACGTTTCCCTTGAAGCGTTCAGTTTGCCTTTTCCCCGAGTTCTGGCTGGTTGGTCGTTCCAGGCTGTTATCCTGTTGTGAAGTATTCCATGGCCACGCTCCAGATTACTCTGCTTCTGACAGTTCATTCTGGCTGTAATTTCCCTTGGCCATCTGGCTGTGCTGTTCACCACAATTAACCATAGCATGAAAGGCAGTGTTAGGAGAAGGGGAACCAGCATTTTTGTCTTTCTTGGACTAAGAGTAGGTTCAATTTGTTTTCTTTCCTCAGGGCCTAGCCCAACACTCCTGTGTGAAGCCTGAGTAAATGGTCTCTGCCTGTAGGATCTCTGCATTTGTCCAAAGGGATGGACGTGCATGTCCCAGGATACAGGACATCAGCACACTCAGTAGTATAACACTTAGATCAGGGGCGGGAAAACTTTTTGGCCAGAGGGCCACATCAGGGTTCCGAAACTGTATGGAGGGCCTGGTAGGGAAGGCTATGCCTCCCCAAACAGCCTGGCCCCTGCCATCTATCCGCCCCCGACTGTCCCCCTCAGAATCCCCAACCCATCCAACCTCCCCCCTGCCCCCCACTGCTCCTTGTTCCCTGAC